ACCTGTGGGAAACAAACAGGTAAGGTAATGTGTACGACAGAAAGCTCTGGGTAAGTAGGGCGCCTACTCACCTGGGTGGACTCCCCACTGTATGACCTGCTCTCTCCCTCACCAGGGGACCCTCCCCAGCACCTAGCCGCGGTGTGCCCTCCGCGCCCACACTTGGTGCAGGAGACTGCCCCCCTCGGGCTCCTACCTCTTCTCCCTCTAGCGCCAGCACCTCCAAGCTCCATCGGACACTGCTCGGAGGCGCTGGAGGGTGGAATGGGAGGCCCCCACCTGGGACGTCCGCGGGTCGCCAGCAGGTTGTCCAGTCGAATGGCCATGTCCACCAGCTGGTCAAATGTTAGTGTAGTGTCCCTGCAGGCTAACTCCCTGCGGACGTCCTCCCGAAGGCTACATCTGAAGTGGTCTATGAGGGCCCTCTCATTCCACCCCGCATCAGCCGCTAGAGTCCGGAACTCCAGCGCAAACGCCTGAGCGCTCCTCATCCCCTGTCGGAGGTGGAATAGACGTTCCCCCCGCCGCTCTCCCCCTCTGGTGGATGGTCGAAGACCGCACGGAAGCGACGGGAGAACTCCGCATAGGTGACTGTGGCGGCGTCTATTCCCCTCCATTCGGCGTTGGCCCACTCCAACGCCTTGCCGGTGAGACAGGAGATGAGGGCGGAAACGCTCTCGTATCCCGAGGGCGCCGGGTGTATGGTGGCAATGTAGAGCTCCACTTGTAAGAGGAACCCCTGACAACCCGGCAGCGGTGCCGTCGTACGCCCTCGGGAGCGAGAGCCGAATCCCACTGGGTTCCGGTCGATGGACGGGCTGGCTGTCCGGTGGTGATGGTGCGATAGGTGGGGCTGTGGGAACCCCGCTGGTCTCCCATCGACGAAGGGTGTCCATGACGCCCTCCAAGGCGTGCCCGATTCGGTTGATCCGGTGCTCTTGACCAAGGAGACGCTCCTCCATGGGGTCGACGGGTGCTCCTGCTGATTCCATGTCAAGGTGTGTAATTCTGTCATGATGCTGTGTAGGTGTGGTGTAGAATCAGGCGCAGGCAGCAGAGGATAAGTCCAACAAGACTTTACTGAAGCACAAAAATATATCCAAAACAGCCCGGAGGCAAAAGGACGCACACAGGCGTAAATGCGAGCGCACACACAGGTGCGTAAACTCTCCTAAACACACAAGGAGGCAACGAAGGAAAATAGCGTACCGACACGGGTAGCGCAACCACGACATGAACAATTACACACAACACTAACCTAACAACAAGGAAACTAAATAGGGTGCTAAATGAGACCTAACACAAAACAGGTGTGACTAACAGACAAAACCAAACAAACAAGAAACATAGAGCGGTGGCAGCTAGAACTCCGGAGACGACGACCGGCGAAACCTGCCCGAACAAGGAGGAGGAGCCGCCTCGGCCGAAACCGTGACAATCCCTGTTCTCTCCTCTCCGCACAGGCTATACAAACGCCTCACACCGCGTGGCTGCTGCCACTCTAACCTGGTGGTCCCTGCACGCATGACCCACGTGGAGTTCCAGGTCTCCGGCAGCCTCTGGAACTGCCGTTCTGCGGCCAACAAGGTAGAGTTAATCTCAGCCTATGCTACCCTCCAGTCCCTCGACTTCTTGGCGCTGACGGAAACATGGATTACCACAGAAAACACTGCTACTCCTACTGCTCTCTCCTCATCTGACCATGTGTTCTCGCATACCCTGAGAGCATCTGGTCAGTGGGGTGGTGGAACAGGAATCCTCATCTCTCCCAAGTGGACATTCTCTCTTTCTCCCCTGACCCATCTGTCTATTTCCTCATTTGAATTCCATGCTGTCACAGTCACTAGCCCATTCAAGCTTAACATCCTTATCATTTATCGCCCTCCAGGTTCCCTTGGAGAGTTCATCAATGAGCTTGATCTCTTGATAAGTTCCTTTCCTGAGGATGGCTCACCCCTCACAGTTCTGGGTGACTTTAACCTCCCTACGTCTACCTTTGACTAATTTCTCTCTGCCTCCTTCTTTCCACTCCTCTCCTCTTTTGACCTCACCCTCTCACCGTCCCCCCCTACTCACAAGGCAGGCAATACACTTGACCTCATCTTTACTAGATGCTGTTCTTCTACTAATCTCACTGCAACTCCCCTCCAAGTCTCCGACCACTACTTTGTATCCTTTTCTCTCTCGCTCTCCTCCAACACTACTCACTCTGCCCCTACTCAGATGGTAATGCGCCATCGCAACCTTCGCTCTCTCTCTCCCGCTACTCTCTCCTCTTCCATCCTATCATCTCTTCCCTCTGCTCAATTCTTCTCCCTCCAATCTCCTGATTCTGCCTCCTCAACCATCCTCTCCTCCCTTTCTGCATCCTTTGACTCTCCCCTATCCTCCCGGCCGGCTCAGTCCTCCCCTCCTGCTCCGTGGCTTGAAGACTCATTGCGAGCTCACAGAACAGGGCTCCGGGCAGCCGAGCGGAAATGGAGGAAAACTAGACTCCCTGCAGACCTGGCATCATTTCACTCCCTCCTCTCTACATTTTCTTCCTCTGTTTCTGCTGCTAAAGCCACTTTCTACCACTCTAAATTCCAAGCATCTGCCTCTAACCCTAGGAAGCTCTTTGCCACCTTCTCCTCCCTGCTGAATCCTCATCCCCCTCCCCCCCTCCACCCTCTCTGTGGATGACTTCGTCAACTATTTTGAAAAGAAGGTTGACGACATCCGATCCTCGTTTGTTAAGTCAAATGACACCGCTGGTCCTGCTCACACTGCCCTACCCTATGCTTTGACTTCTTTCTCCTCTCTCTCTCCAGATGAAATCTTGCGACTTGTGACGGCCGGCCGCCCAACAACCTGCCCGCTTGACCCTATCCCCTCCTCTCTTCTCCAGACCATTTCCGGAGACCTTCTCCCTTACCTCACCTCGCTCATCAACTCATCCTTGACCGCTGGCTATGTCCCTTCCGTCTTCAAGAGAGCGAGAGTTGCACCCCTTCTCAAAAAACCACCCTCTACGAGTTGGGCATCTCCGGCACGGCTCACTCTTGGATTGCATCCTACCTGACAGGTCGCTCCTACCAGATGGCGTGGCGAGAATCTGTCTCCGCACCACGTGTTCTCACCACTGGTGTCCCCCAGGGCTCAGTTCTAGGCCCTCTCCTATTCTCACTATACACCAAGTCACTTGGCTCTGTCATTTCCTCACATGGTCTCTCTCATCATTGCTACGCAGACGACACACAATTAATCTTCTCCTTTCCCCCTTCTGATAACCAGGTGGCGAATCGCATCTCTGCATGTCTGGCAGACATATCAGTGTGGATGACGGATCACCACCTCAAGCTGAACCTCGGCAAGACGGAGCTGCTCTTCCTCCCGGGGAAGGACTGCCCGTTCCATGATCTCGCCATCACGGTTGACAACTCCGTTGTGTCCTCCTCCCAGAGTGCAAAGAGCCTTGGCGTGACCCTGGACAACACCCTGTCGTTCTCCGCTAACATCAAGGCGGTGACCCGATCCTGTAGGTTCATGCTCTACAACATTCGCAGAGTACGACCCTGCCTTACACAGGAAGCGGCACAGATCCTAATCCAGGCACTTGTCATCTCCCGTCTGGATTACTGCAACTCGCTGTTGGCTGGGCTCCCTGCCTGTGCCATTAAACCCCTACAACTTATACAGAACGCTGAAGCCCGTCTGGTGTTCAACCTTCCCAAGTTCTCTCATGTCACCCCGCTCCTCCGCACACTCCACTGGCTTCCAGTTGAGGCTCGCATCTGCTACAAGACCATGGTGCTTGCCTACGGAGCTGTGAGGGGAACGGCACCTCCGTACCTTCAGGCTCTGATCAGTCCCTACACCCAAACGAGGGCATTGCGTTCATCCACCTCTATGTCTCCCGAGTGGCGCAGTGGTCTAAGGCACTGCATCGCAGTGCTAGCTGTGCCACTAGAGATCCTGGTTTGAATCCAGGCTCTGTCGTAGCCGGCCGCGACCGGGAGACCCATGGGGCGGCGCACAATTGGCCCAGGGTATTGGAGGGAATGGCCGGCAGGGATGTAGCTCAGTTGGTAGAGCATGGCGTTTGCAACGCCAGGGTTGTGGGTTCGTTTCCCACGGGGGGCCAGTATGAAAAAAGTATAATGTATGCACTCACTAACTGTAAGTCGCTCTGGATAAGAGCGTCTGCTAAATGACTAAAATGTAAATGTAAATGTAGCCTGCTGGCCCCCCTACCTCTGCGGAAGCACAGTTCCCGCTCAGCCCAGTCAAAACTGTTCGCTGCTCTGGCACCCCAATGGTGGAACAAGCTCCCTCACGACGCCAGGACAGCGGAGTCACTCACCACCTTCCGGAGACACTTGAAACCCCACCTCTTTAAGGAATACCTGGGATAGGATAAAGTAATCCTTCTACCCCCCCTTACCCCACCAAAAAAAATATATATATATATATTGTAAAGTGGTTGTCCCACTGGCTATCATAAGGTGAATGCACCAATTTGTAAGTCGCTCTGGATAAGAGCGTCTGCTAAATGACGAAAATGTAAATGTAAAAATGGGTCTGAATACTTATTTAAAGTTTTATTTTTATTTTTTTTACCTGTTTTTGCTTTGTCATTATGGGTTATTGTGTGTAGATTGTTGAGGAAAAACAATTATTTAATCCATTTTAGAATTAGGGTGTAAAAGGAAAAAGAAAAGGCTCTTAATACTTTCCGAATGCACTGTACTACATACTACAGCTACATAGCTTAAGGTAGCGATCTTGATGTGATTGTAAATGCCTCATGAGTCATTAATACCTTGCTAATGAACTCATTTATTAGGGAAACATCCCTCCTAAAAACGTTATGCAATAATATGACAAACGTGGGGTGGTTTGGATGTACTTAGCTTAGTGTGAGGTAACCTGGCTCCGGATCTGATTGTGCTGTCTTGCCAACTCCTATGGTCATTGTCACGTGACAATGACAACAGGTGGAGAATGTCATATTATATTCACTGTTTGATGGCACTGACTGCAAAGTGTCTCCCAACACACATGTTGTTGTCTGCACCCCACAGCATGGTGTAATATTTCAGTCTCTCCCCATCCTTATAGAACTTCTTCTTCTCTGTCCCGTCTGTGTTTAGAAAGCGGTCATATTGAAATGTCTGTAAAGCAGAGAAAAGAAAACACAAGTTAAAATGATGATGACACAGAGATGCTACAGTACAGTGAGTGGTACAGTGCTGTGATGACACAGAGATGCTACAGTACAGTGAGTGGTACAGTGCTGTGATGACACAGAGATGCTACAGTACAGTGAGTGGTACAGTGCTGTGATGACACAGAGATGCTACAGTACAGTGAGTGGTACAGTGCTGTGATGACACAGAGATGCTACAGTACAGTGAGTGGTACAGTGCTGTGATGACACAGAGATGCTACAGTACAGTGAGTGGTACAGTGCTGTGATGACACAGAGATACTACAGTACAGTGAGTGGTACAGTGATGCTGCATCATCCCCACCCCACAGGTATGCACGCACACACACACACACACACACACTCATATACACACACATGCACGCACACATGTACACACGCACATACACACGCATGTATGCACATACGCACACACACGTATGCACGCGTGCACACACACACTGTGTAGACACGCTCGGCTGGCTTCTGCCATCACACTAGGGAATAATTAAAAGGTATTTTTAAATGAAGGACTCTCTGTTCCACCTAGGAGGTTAAGGTTAAAGACACTGTCATGCAGAGTCATTGTATTAGAGTCATTGTATTAGCAGGTGCTGGATTAGACTGAATAGTAATGTAAAACTAAAATACATCTGTACACTGGTATGCTCCCAGGTGCTTAGATTATTATGACAATATTTCAACACCAACTGGGTCTTTGTCAGGTAACAGTATTGTGCTGTATTACCTGTGGGTTGTGGTGTATCTGAGGGTCCATCTGCGGGCTGAGGAAGGGGAACAGACACACCCTGTCCCCCTGTCTGAGGTGGTACTCCTGTCCACTGGCCAGACGAAGGGTCGTGTCCTGGATCACCTCTCTGGTGATGAGGGCAGCAGCGGTCAGACGCAGGGTCTCGCTCAGAACACTGTCTATGATTGGGGAAAGGTACCATACATATGATGTGAGAGGGTTGGGAGTGTGTGGGAGTATGTGGGAGTGAAGGAGCTCATAATCATTACCTTTGGCCCAGATTGGTTTGAGCTGTAAAGCCAACTCTATTGGTTGAAACTGGCCATAGGAGTTAGCTATAGCACAAACAGATCTGGCACCAGGCTACATAATCATAAAACTAGAGGTATGCCCTTCTGGAAAGCTGTGGATACATAAGCAGAGGATAATATCACATATTTTAACTTCATTCAACCACTGTTAAAAAAACGTTATATTTATCCATCTTTACTTATTCAGCGCTCTGAATCTCTTTGCTTTTTTCACTCACTGGTTATTCCTCCCCAGTTCAGAGCTTCAGTTCAGTATTTTACCGCATGTCTTTGGCTGGCAGGCAGAGCAAGGCAGAGAGCCCTGAGAGCTCTGAGGTGAAGAGAGAGGGAGTGAATAATAGAGGAGGTTGCCTGGGGCTCTTACCAAAAACAGGTGTGCTGTGGTGCTCCAGTGTGTCCAGAAGGTGGTGCTGTAGGGAGCAGTCCTCCTGCAGAGCCAGGCCTCTGAGCTCCTCCTTCACTGCTCTCATGGCCTCGGGGTGGGTGAGCAGGAAGCCCAGCAGCCAGAAGGCAGCAGGCCCAGTGTTACCCTGGAATAAAACACAACATAGACTCAGAGTCAGTTCAGAAACAGCAAGTGTATTACAGAGCATAACTCTAAGGTTAGACAAAACCAACACAGCACTTACTCTGAGCCAATCAAAGATAGTGAAACCATTACCAAGCATTATGATGCAGTTATACTACAAGGTTAGCCAAATCAGGCAAATCAGAGTACAGATACTGTACTGTTTGAACACACTGCCAGAAGCTTCAAGGAGAAAATGAAAGCGTGTTTAGATAAATCTACACAAAGTTGTTCTCCCCCCCCCCCCCCCTTTTTTTTCATTCTCACTTGTCTTTTATTCTCTCTTTCTTTTAATCCCACACCTCATTCATGGTACTGCTGTAGTGTACTGTAGAAGTGTTCTGATCTGAGGGACAGCGAGGAGCCTTTAGAGCTGTCAGGGTTGTGTGGACAGGGCTGTTAGAGTCTACAGAGGGCTGAGACGTCTGTCTGAACAGTCAGATGATAATTGCTGTTGGTTCAGGGAGCCTCTCTCTTCACCGTTCCCTCTCACAAGTCAGGTCTTCACTGATCCATTGACAGCCAGGGCTAATGCAAGGCAAAGACCAGGTCCAATGGCTCTCTGGCTGACTCACTGGCCTATCCCATCACAGATCCAATATGATGAACACTAGGCTACACAAACTGTAAGGCTTCATCTCAGTTTACTTTAGGGGTAACAGTAGGAGTCTTACAGTATAAATAGTCATTGAATATGCAGCATGTTTTTACTGACAATTTATAGTGTTTTCCTGCAAATCAAGATCAAATTAAGATTCAACAACTGAATTCAAATAGAAAATTCACTGGTAGACGTGTACACAGTAAGACATTTAGTCTCCTCCTCAACTCTTCTGAGTGTGTATTTGTGTACTGTGTACTGGTGTAGTTGTGTTGACAGCAGGGCAGCAGTCAAGTGTGTGATGGACTGAATATGACACAGGCTCCCTGAAGGAGATGGACATTATGGACTGCCTGGACTGGGCCTGGACTGGAGCCTCACTGACAGGCTGGCTCAGAGATTCACTAGGCTGTGGAACCGCCTCCACCCCAATCCCCCACCCCAATAACACATACAGAGCCAGAAACATAAAGCTCTCATAACTTTGTTGCAATACATTTTTATATTTTGTATTATTTGTATATTTTGGTCCTGCTCACACTGCCCTACCCTATGCTTTGACTTCTTTCTCCCCTCTCTCTCCAGATAAAATCCTGCGACTTGTGACTGCAGGCCGCCCAACAACCTGCCCGCTTGACCCCATCCCCTCCTCCCTTCTCCAGACCATCTCCGGTGACCTTCTCCCCTACCTCACCTCGCTGATCAACTCATCCTTGACCGCTGGCCATGTCCCTTCCGTCTTCAAGAGAGCGAGAGTTGCTCCCCTCCTCAAAAAACCAACACTCGACCCCACTGATGTCAACAACTACAGACCAGTATCCCTTCTTTCTTTTCTTTCCAAAACTATTGAGCGTGCCGTCTTTAGCCAACTCTCTTGCTATCTCTCTCAGAATGACCTTCTTGATCCAAACCAATCAGGTTTCAGGACTGGTCATTCAACTGAGACTGCTCTTCTCTGTGTCACGGAGACTCTCCGCACTGCTAAAGCTAACTCTCTCTCCTCTGCTCTTGTCCTTCTAGACCTGTCTGCTGCCTTTGATACTGTGAACCATCAGATCCTCCTCTCCACCCTCTCCGAGATGGGCATCTCCGGCGCGGCTCACTCCTGGATTGCGTCCTACCTGACCGGTCGCTCCTACCAAGTGGCGTGGCGGGAAGCTGTCTCCGCACCACGTGCTTCACCACTGGTGTCCCCCAGGGATCGGTTCTGGGCCCTCTCCTTTTCTCCCTATACACCAAGTCACTTGGCTCTGTCATATCCTCACATGGTCTCTCCTATCATTGCTACGCTGACGATACACAACTAATCTTCTCCTTTCCCCCTTCTGATAACCAGGTGGCGAATCGCATCTCTGCATGTCTGGCAGACATATCAGTATGGATGACGGATCACCACCTCAAGCTGAACCCTGGCAAGACGGAGCTGCTCTTCCTCCCGGGGAAGGACTGCCCGTTCCATGATCTCGCCATCACGGTTGACAACTCCGCTGTGTCCTCCTCCCAGAGTGCGAAGAGCCTAGGCGTGACCCTGGACAACACCCTGTCGTTCTCCGCCAACATCAAGGCGGTGACCCGCTCCTGCAGGTTCATGCTCTACAACATTCGGAGAGTGCGACCCTGCCTTACACAGGAAGCGGCGCAGGTCCTGGTCCAGGCACTTGTCATCTCCCGTCTGGACTACTGCAACTCGCTGTTGGCTGGGCTCCCTGCCTGTGCCATTAAACCCCTACAACTCATCCAGAATGCCGCAGCCCGTCTGGTGTTCAACCTTCCCAAGTTCTCTCACGTCACCCCCCTCCTCCGCACACTCCACTGGCTTCCAGTTGAAGCTCGCATCCGCTACAAGACCATGGTGCTTGCCTATGGAGCAGTGAGGGGAACGGCACCTCTGTACCTTCAGGCTCTGATCAGTCCCTACACCCAAACGAGGACATTGCGTTCATCCACCTCTGGCCTGCTGGCTCCCCTTCCTCTGCGGAAGCACAGCTCCCGCTCAGCCCAGTCAAAACTGTTCGCTGCTCTGGCACCCATTGTGACAGATTACACGCTAGACACGAGTCACTCCACCTCCGGGAATTTGAAACACCCTTTAAGGCCTATAGATAATATCCTTCTATATTGGATTTTGACCATCAACATTTACAGATGATACCTCTAAATTGTCCTACAATTTGCACACAAGGCCTAACGCTTGATCTAAATTTGAGAACACATTCTGATGCCTCAGATGTATTCTGGCACATTTGGCCATTTCTGTTTGAAATTAAACAGTTTGGTTTGGGTGACCTGCCAACTCTTCCTTTTTCCACAGAGGGGTGTGATCTGTGCTGTTCTGGAATGTGTGGACCCATTGTTTAGGACAACACAGAACTCCAAACAGGTGCCATGGAAACACATTAAGTGGAACACTTGTCACTCATTACTTCTCACATAATGACATCATGAGTCAATTGTGCTGACATGGAAGTTACGAGTCATTGGGAGAGAACAAACCTGCGAACTTATTCATGCCAGGACCACAGGTAGCAAAGAGGGCACATGAAGAGAACAAACCTGTGAACTTATTCATGCCAGGACCACAGGTAGCAAAGAGGGCACAGGAAGAGAACAAACCTGCGAACTTATTCATGCCAGGACCACAGGTAGCAAAGAGGGCACAGGAAGAGAACAAACCTGCGAACTTATTCATGCCAGGACCACAGGTAGCAAAGAGGGCACAGGAAGAGAACAAACCTGCGAACTTATTCATGCCAGGACCACAGGTAGCAAAGAGGGCACAGGAAGAGAACAAACCTGCGAACTTATTCATGCCAGGACCACAGGTAGCAAAGAGGGCACAGGAAGAGAACAAACCTGCGAACTTATTCATGCCAGGACCACAGGTAGCAAAGAGGGCACAGGAAGAGAACAAACCTGCGAACTTATTCATGCCAGGACCACAGGTAGCAAAGAGGGCACAGGAAGAGAACAAACCTGCGAACTTATTCATGCCAGGACCACAGGTAGCAAAGAGGGCACAGGAAGAGAACAAACCTGCGAACTTATTCATGCCAGGACCACAGGTAGCAAAGAGGGCACAGGAAGAGAACAAACCTGCGAACTTATTCATGCCAGGACCACAGGTAGCAAAGAGGGCACAGGAAGAGAACAAACCTGCGAACTTATTCATGCCAGGACCACAGGTAGCAAAGAGGGCACAGCACGAGAACAAACCTGCGAACTTATTCATGCCAGGACCACAGGTAGCAAAGAGGGCACAGGAAGAGAACAAACCTGCAAACTTATTCATGCCAGGACCACAGGTAGCAAAGAGGGCACAGGAAGAGATGTATTTGGTCATCGGGGTGTGGCAGGACACTGTGGGAAAGGATTAGTCTGTTCTGTCTGTGTGTGTGTGTTGTGTGTGTGTGTGTGTGTGTGTGTGTGTGTGTGTGTGTTTGTGTGTGTGTGTGAGTCATGCTCTTGCGTCAGTGCGCATGCATGTGTGTTCTTGTCTTTCCCACTCACCTGGGTGGCCCAGAGCTGAAGCAGCATGGCTCGTCTCTGCATCTCTGTGTCCACTCCTTCCCTCTGTAAATGGCTGAGGTAACTCTGCTGCCAGGAGCTGCTCTCTGACCCATGATCTCTGCTCTCAGACCCTTTTCCTCTGCTCAGCCAGGCTGGGGACAACAGCTTCCACAGTCGCTCCGGGGACAGGCATGCTGTCCTCTTCTCCTCTATCAACATAGAGAAAGAGACAGGTTAGAGAGGCCAGATCACACACAGAGAAACAAGCAGACAGAGAAACGGGCAGACAGAGAGACAGGCAGGCAGAGAGACGGGCAGACAGAGAGACAGGTACACAGAGAGACAGGCAGGCAGAGAGACATGTGAACAGAGACAGGTAAACAGATATACAGGCAGACAGAGAGACAGGTAAACAGAGACAGATACACAGAGAAACAGGCAGACAGAGAGACAGGTACAGAGAGACAGATACAGAGAAAATGTGTGTATGAATAGATAAATACTGTATTCATATGAGTGATGTATGACTACATACTGTACATTAGATTCAACTTTGTATTATGTACCTTGCTTAAGGGTTGAACGTGCCAGTTTTGTGAGAAGACCATCGAACATGCGGAACTCTTTGTAGACAGCAGCAAGTTCAGTGACGTTGTTGCTTTTCTCTGTACCAAACAGTGTGAGATACCCAGCCCTATAAAGACAGAAATAAGTGTAACTCTTGTGTAAGAGTAGGTCTTAACTCTTGTGTGTAAGAGTTATGCAATTTGGTCCAAGCATGATATTCTAATTTGACCCTAAATTAACCCCCGGGCCAGTGACCCTGAGAAATGTCTGATGTTACCTGAAGAGCAGGATGACTGTTAACACATGTACAGTAGCTGGCCAGCACAGACAGAATTTAGTTCTGGTTTTTACCTGAAGAGCAGGCTGTAACAGAGGCTGAAGAGGCCGTCCTGCCTCCACTCTGCTTGGCTACAGCTCCTCTCCTCTTCCCTTAGCAGGGTCTGGAGGTGGAGGTGCATGCTGCTGCTCAGTCTGGCCAGGCTGGGGCCCTGGAAGTGTCTGGACAGGGATATGATGGAGAGGACAGATTATTGCTACTGCATGTTAACACAGAGGGAATTAGATAGATGTGCATGTAGTCTTCTGTTGGATAAGAATGTCTTATTAGAATATAATAAAATAGAATAGAAACTATTGTCCTTGACAGGGAACTGCAGATGCAGCTGTATTCAGTTACGGTGTGTGGACAGGTGTGTGGATAGGTGTGAGGTCAGGTGTGAGGTCATGTGCATACAGGTCTAGAATACGTACTGTTCCATCCAGGCCCTCTCTGTGTCTGGGTTGTGATTGGGTAGTCTCAGGTTGAAGATCCTCTGCTTCAGGACCTGGGCGTATTGTCTGAAGTCCAGAGAGACCGTGTCATCGAGGACCACGTCATAGGAGTTAGGGTCCAGCAATACAGTGATGTAATGACCACAAACACGCACCTGGAAGACATAATTTCAAACGTTAAAATCATGGCCATGTCTATGCATGACTGTCACAGTCACCCTACATATTACAATAGTATTGTTTGTGAAAGCAAAAGCAATGTGAATTGGAGATGCACATAGCTCTAGATGCCATAAAGACGAAAGAAGCGTTTGAAAGTCAAATAACTTCTACAGGTTCACAGCAACCCTTTCTATGTCAGTAACAAAGACATAAAGATGTTGAAGATTGATGAGGTACACAGGTACCTGTACACAAAAATGTATAGAGAATTCCTACTGTAAAAATGTCACCATGTTTTTGTTTCATACGTGTTAGGAACTTTGCAGCATCTTTTCCAAACTCCAGGGCATGACCCAGCCATGGAATAAAGCCTTTGACTAATGGTGGCTCATTTTTCTGTCTGGGAGAAACAGACATACAGACGTACAGTTGTCAACCAAGATTAACAGTGTTCAATAGAAGGAGTTACGGGTTAATTCACTTCACCTCCCACACAAAACCAACTGGTTTTAGAGCTACAGTTAGGGAGATGCCCTAAAGTAGTCAAATCTGTGGGCTGTCCTTGAGCTGTTCTTGTCTATTAATGTTCTGTGTCATGTTTTATGTTTTGTGTGGACCCCAGAAAGAGTAGATGCGGCATGAGCAACAGAATTATTAGAAATCCTAATAAATCCTAATAAAAAATACTAACAGTAGTACTGCAATGTAGAAATAGGAAATAAGGTTATCAATGGGTTGTGACTAACCATATAGTCATTTAAGAAATGGTCTGGGTTTGAATGGTTTGCATGAACAATTGGATAATTCTACAGGCTAATGGTCTATCCTGCATGTTCAACAATGTTGTACATTCAGTGAGACATTTATTACCCTGACATTCTTTTAATGAATTGATTTCTGTGTAGAAAGTCAATCTCTTTGTAAATGATGAAGTAAGCAACATGTTAGACATTGGTTAGATCTGCAGATGTTCCTAACAGAAAAGTTAATTGTCTTAAGCATTTCCTCACTACTGTGTGTGAAAAAAAGGGAAGAATTTTCATTCTGACTTCCCATTTAGTCCTGTAATTAGAGGGCTTTGGTCCTTGGCAGTTGCTTCTGAACAGAAAAGTACCCAATCTGAAGCCTCTGTTGACTTATCCTGTTGAATGGGCTACAGTACATAGTCTCACTCAAACATCAGAGTAAAAACATTCCATTAGAATGAGAGAACCTAAATAAAGGGACGACTCTTCTTCTAGTTCTAGAGCTCTTGTAAAGACATGCCTCTCTCTCTACTCTGCTGTCTACCTTTTCCCAAACATCATTTTAGCAATACATCTTTGCAGAAAGGATTCCTACTGCCTTGAGAACGGTTGAGAATATTGTCTGACAGATTGACAAATGCTGATTAAGCTGACATTGAACCCACACAAAGTGGAACTAGTGCTGTTTCGATTACGCAATAATGATGAGAAACACAGGACTCTCACCAGTGAATTTTCCCTGGAATTGTCATCAATTCCATGAACGAAAATTAGTTGAATTTCCAGTGTGTTATCGGTTTGCTTTCAACCATCTAAAAGCATAACCAAATTCCAGTTGAAAAACAATGTCTGATTTTTGGTTTAGTTGTCACCCAAATGTCTATCACTGCACTATCAACCATTTAAAAGCACAGCAAAGTTCAAATGGGAATACAATGTCAGATATTTTGTTTATTTATACAACAGATTAAAGTTTTATCACTGTGCTTCATAATAGCAGAATCAAATGACCTGGATTGCAGTTGAGAATACATTAAAAGTACATGGTGCAAGTGATTAATGCCATTCAAAATTCTGCACAGATTATTACAGCAATCTCCACAGACCTGCGATGACCTATGCTTGCTATCTTGAACATGCACACGTTATATGATTACATAAGAAGGCATTTAAAGTTACAGTAACCTCAAATGTGGCAATGGATGTGTTACTCATTTTAAGGTTGAATGTTACATTAGTTTGTAAGATAGCCTTACCTGTAGGCTATTTACTGTATTACAAAAGTAATATTGAATTGTTTGGTTGAAAACCAATCAAATATCAACATTTGGAGAAGATTTATCTTCTGCTTGAATAGTTCCATCTGTGCCACTGTCAGAGTTTGCTGTAGGTGGGTGTGGTGTTGGAATCAGGCGCAGGACGCAGGAAATAAGTCCAAAAGACTTTAGTAAATGCACAAACTGAAACACGAAGAAAAGCCCTGAGGCGAGAACTCCGCACGCAGGCGTAAAACAAACGGGCGCACTAAACATGTGCGAATAAACTCTCCTAAACAGAGGAGAACAGCTCAACCGAGCAAACCGTAAATGATGGCGCAAATGCACGACAGTGAAAACAATCACACACAACACCTGACAAACACAACGAGAACTTATAGGACACTAATGACACTAAACGACAACAGGTGTACAATACCAGACAAGACCAAACGAACATAGAAACATACAACGGTGGCAGCTAGTATTCCGGAGACGACGAACGCCGAAGCCTGCCCGAGCAAGGAAGAGAGGCAGCCTCGGCCGAAACCGTGACAGTACCCCCCCCCTTGACGCGCGGCTCCAGACGTGCGCCGACTCCGGCCTCGGGGACGACCAGGAGGACGCGGAGCAGGGCGCGTCGGGTGACTACGATGGAATTCCGTCAGGAGAGACGGGTCCAAAATGTCTCCCCTCGGCACCCAGCACCGTTCCTCCGGGCCGTACCCCTCCCACTCCACCAGATATTGGAGACCCCCCATCCGACGTCTCGAATCCAAGATGGACCGCACGGAGTACGCCGGTGCCCCCTCGATGTCCAATGGGGGCGGAGGAGTCTCCCTGATCTCATTTTCTTGGAGTGGGCCAGCTACCACCGGCCTGAGAAGAGACACATGGAACGAGGGGTTAATACATTTATACTCAACAGGTAGTTGTAATCTGTAACACACCTCGTTCAATCTTCTCAGGACTTTAAATGGCCCCACAAACCGCCGACCCAGTTTCCGACAGGGCAGGCGGAGGGGCAGGTTTCTGGTAGAGAGCCAGACTCGATCACCAGGTGCGTACACCGGTCCCTCACTGCGGTGGAGATCGGCGCTCGCCTTTTGACGACGGAGGGCCCGCTGCAGGTGGACGTGTGCAGCGTTCCACGTCTCCTCCGAGCGCCGCACCCACTCATCCACCGCAGGAGCCTCGATCTGGCTCTGCTGCCAAGGTGCCAGAACCGGCTGGTAACCTAACACACATTGGAAAGGGGTTAGGTTAGTGGAGGAATGGCGTAGGGAATTCTGGGCCATTTCTGCCCAGGGAACGTACCGTGCCCACTCCTCCGGCCGGTCCTGGCAGTATGATCTAAGAAACCTACCCACATCCTGGTTCACACGTTCCACCTGCCCATTACTCTCCGGATGGTAACCCGAGGTGAGGCTCACCGAGACCCCCAACCGCTCCATAAAGGCTCTCCAGACTCTGGAGGTAAATTGGGGACCTCGATCAGACACAATATCCTCGGGTACCCCGTAGTGCCGGAAAACATGGGTGAATAGCGCTTCGGCGGTCTGTAGGGCAGTAGGAAGGCCCGGCATAGGGAGCAAACGACAGGCCTTAGAGAACCGGTCCACAACGACCAGTATAGTAGTATTCCCCTGTGAGGGAGGAAGGTCAGTGATGAAATCCACCGAGAGGTGAGACCATGGTCGTTGTGGAACGGGCAGGGGTAGTAACTTACCCCTAGGCAGATGTCTAGGCGCCTTACACTGGGCGCACACCGAGCAGGAGGAGACATAAACCCTCACATCCCTCGCCAACGTGGGCCACCAGTACTTAGCACTAAGGCAGTGCACTGTCCGGCCGATACCAGGATGTCCAGAGGAGGGTGACGTGTGAGCCCAATAGATCAATCGATCCCGAACCTCGAGCGGAACGTACTTCCGACCCTCCGGGCATTGAGGTGGACTAGGGTCGGTGCGCAACGCCCGCTCGAGTTCAGCATCGACCTCCCACACTACCAGTGCCACCAGACAAGACTCCGGCAGTATGGGAGTGGGCTCCACGGACCTCTCCTCCGTGTCATACCGCCGAGACAGCGCGTCTGCCTTACCGTTCTGTGACCCAGGGATGTACGTGATCTTAAATATGAACCGGGTCAAAAACATATTCCACCGCGCCTGGCGAGGGTTTAGTCTCCTAGCTGCCCGGATGTACTCCAGGTTACGGTGGTCCGTCAAAATGAGGAAAGGGTGTTGAGCCCCCTCAAGCCAGTGCCTCCACACCTTTAGGGCCTGTACCACGGCTAGCAGCTCCCTGTCCCCTACGTCATAATTTCGCTCCGCCGGACTGAGCTTCTTGGAATAAAAAGCACAGGGGCGGAGTTTAGGTGGCGTGCCGGACCGTTGCGAAAGCACGGCTCCTATACCGGCCTCTGACGCGTCCACCTCTACCTGAAATGGTAAAGAGGGATCCGGATGCGCCAGCACCGGAGCCGAGGTAAACAGGTCCTTCAGCCTCCCAAAGGCCCTGTCCGCCTCGGCTGACCACTGCAGACGCACCGGACCCCCCCTTCAAAAGAGACGTTATGGGAGCTGCCACCTGTCCAAAACCCCGAATAAACCTCCGGTAGTAATTCGCAAACCCCAAAAACTGCTGCACCTCCTTCACAGTGGTTGGCGTTTGCCAATTACGCACGGCTGACACCCGGTCTACCTCCATCTTCACCCCTGACGCAGACAACTGATAACCCAAAAAGGAGACCGACTCCTGGAAAAACAGACACTTCTCTGCCTTGACATACAGGTCGTGCTCCAACAGCCTCCGCAACACTCGGCGCACCAGTGCCACGACTCGGGTAGACGAGTACACGAGAATGTCATCTATGTACACGACCACCCCCTGCCCCTGCATGTCCCTGAAGATCTCATCCACGAATGATTGGAAAACTGAAGGAGCGTTCATCAACCCGTATGGCATGACAAGATACTCGTAATGGCCCGAGGTGGTACTAAAGGCTGTCTTCCATTCATCGCCCCCCCTAATGCGCACCAAGTTGTACGCGCTCCTGAGATCTAATTTAGTGAAGAAACGCGCCCCGTGCAATGACTCTGTCATGGTCGCAATCAGCGGGAGTGGATAACTGTACTTCACCGTGATCTGATTGAGACTACGGTAATCAATGCACGGGCGTAACCCACCATCCTTTTTCTTCACAAAAAAGAAACTCGAGGACGCAGGGGAAGTGGAGGGCCGTATGTATCCTTGTCTCAGAGATTCGTCTATGTAAGTCTCCATAGCTCTCTTCTCCTCCTGAGACAGAGGATACACATGGCTCCGTGGGAGCGCAGCTCCTGCCTGGAGGTCTATCGCACAATCTCCCTGCCTATGGGGAGGCAACTGCGTCGCCCTCGACTTACTGAACACAATAGCCAAATCCCCATACTCAGGGGGAACGTGCAATGCGGGCACCTGGTTTGGACTCTC